AAAAGCATGATAATATATTAAGTAATCCAAAGTATTCAGAATACGTTACTGTCATTGAGTAACGTAACGGAATAGGTTACAGAATACATTTTGGGGCACGTATTCTGTATTCTGTAATGGAATACATTTTAAAAGTAACCTTCCCAACACTGCATATGAGAAGATGGCAAAGATATGGTTACCTATGCAACTGGAGCCTGGAAAGTCCACTAGTGACCAACCATCAGTCGCTAAATCTGTTTATATGTGGTTTGGGCTTCACCCTTGGAGGTGCACAAGTTCACAGTACAGAAGCCAGGAAATATAAAAATGAGGGACATGTTCCTGGTCAGAGAAGAAGATGACCTTGAAGGTGGGATCCAAATTTAAACCAGTTATGGGTTTAGGTTTATTTGTTGGCTAAGTCACTTTACAGCTGCACCATGTCACCTCCAGATTTATCCACTATGCTAACTTCAACTTTTCATTGAAAAGTCCATTACTCTCACTGAATAACCATAATGAACTCTTTATTACTATTTACTTTCAGAGCATCACAATTAAAATTCAGTTGTCCAATACTAACCCTTTTTTAAATCACTTTGATTCACTCTTTATCAGCAAAGTCACAGTTCTCTATTTAGTTTTTTGTTTTATGTCTTAGAAACTACAAGACATAGTTGGTGTTAACATATTGTGTAACTTCCTTTAGGTATCTTAAAGATTTCACAAATACAACAAGTCACATTGTGCCTGCTGATAAGACCTGACAAACTCGAAACGTGAATCACTTTTTACCATGTTGGCTTCCAGCACTTTAATCTTTACGGCTTCAGAGAAATGACTTGTGTCTCACCATTGTTGAAGTAGCTGAGATGTGTGTGTAGAGCCTTGTCAGCATCTAAAAAGGCTTTCTTTAAAACTTTCTCCAGATCATCATCCTGTTCCAAAGCATCTCTGCACCAAAAAAACGAATTTAGGTCTTTTGTTTGTCTGTTTTTGTGAAGTGCAGTCATTAATGACTACACAGCTTGTCCAGTATTCAGTTGTTTATGTTCTCATATTTAAAGGCAGTATGCTCAACCTGATAAATTTCTCCATGAAGGTGTAGCAGTAGTCTGCAGCATGCGGGCCACCATGGCCGTCGAACACAGCGAAGTACAGTAGGTTGTCATGAATACGGCCGATGCGGAGACGGTCCTCGTTCTGATTCCTAAGACCGAGAACAGACGTACTGCCGACCCGAGACAGACTGACCTGAGAGGTGGAGGAAGACAACCTTTGGTTGATAAACTGAACTGACTGATTAGCCATTTCATTCATGTGTCCCAACCATGGGGGGATATGTAACATGTTAGGTTAAAATCTTTTTGAACCTGTGACCATGCCTTTAAAATAGCCACTGAAAACAGTCATTGTATACTTCAATACTTAACTATTTGTGCATTTCTGAATATATCTATTCAACCTATGCTCTTTACTTTACTTTAATAGGTACACGGTGCCAGTACCCAACTAAACTCAAGTTCGCCTGCAGAAGTACTTCAGGTCTTCATGGAATAGATTAAACAAGGTGCTGGAAATATTTCTCAGAGATTTTGGTTGACATGTTAGCATCAGTTTGAACTTTAGCCTAAAGCCTTTAGCCTGCCATGTGACTGACTGATAGATACTTGCATTTGCAGCTGTACCTGATAAAGTGGCAGGTGAGTGTATTTATTATTCTTTTATCCACCCACTGCTCTTTCCTACCTGTGGGATGGGTCTTCCATATCTGATACTGGAGGGCAGTAGTATTGGTTCTTCTATCCTGTTGTCCCAAATACCAAATGAGTCCCAGGTCACTGGACGGACGCTGATGTCACCGTCCAATCTGACTGATCCACTTCCCTGCCGCACGCCCACCGTCCCAAACAATGCCCCGCCCACCTACAGGACGATCATCCAGGACAAGGTTAGACTACTGTTGTAGCTTGTTTGTGTAAAATCTGATCAGGGATTTATTTTTCTTATTATAAGATCGTGAGAATTGTGTTGTTTCAAAGAAGACGTTACATGGTTACTTTACTCACCAGCAACTAATCCATTTTCCAAAATAGTCATAAAATTTATGTCTAATGACAAAAAAATGATCTTTTTGTTAACACTATTGACAAAATATTTAAGCAATCTGTCTTTTCAGGTCACACTATGTCTAAAATAAATAAATCACATTCCTGGTGCTTCAAATGAGATTGAAGTGTTAATAGTAAATAGAAAACTCTGGATTTGTAATCATGCAAAAAACAAACAAACCCAATCTGAACAAATAATTAAATTCTGTTCCAATTTTCTGAAAGTAGGATTACATGATTTTATAATTTTGAAACAGAACATCACATGTAAGTCTCAGATTCACCTGTCCAGAGGCCGTGGAGGTTTCTGGTGAGGATCGTATGGAGAGGAAGGTTTGTCTGGAGATTGTGGAGCGACCACAACGCAGCATATTGAACAGCACTGCAGATGACATGACTGATTGCCTTTAACAGCTGTGGAGATTTTACAAAGGAGGAACGACCTCGCCAGGTGATGGACTTCTAAAAAGAAAGAAGAAAAATCATGTTAACAGGGCTGAGACTTGGTGCAGTAAATAAATTCACATTCTTCCATCCTCATGTTCCTAAGTGAACTGTATATGCACAATTTTCTTTCTTAGAAACTTGTGGAATTGTCAATGTTAACCTTCAAACCCAGTGTTACGATCATGCTTGTGGTTTTGTTGAGTTACGATTTGGATTCTTGTAATTTTTTTTTTTTTTTGTGATTTGATTTCTTAATTTTTCTTATGGTAACAACTTTTTGTAATTAGAAAAGTTGTGCAGAAAAAAGTATAGCATACTTTTTAAAAATATATATATAACATTACTGGTTTTTCCATCCAGTTGTCCAGATGTTAATAAAACCTATATTCCTATAAGTTTGCAGGATGTGATTCACAACAATGTGACAAGAAGAACATAAATCAGGTATAATCATATCAGATAAATGCACATTATACTTTCTGAGAATCAGTTTTGAGTTTGTTGGGGTAGTTTCTAGGATGAGACCTTATTAGACTGAGAAGTGGTCAGATGTTGGCTCCAGTTGGAGTTTAATCTTTCAATTGTACGTAAATGACATTAACAAGGATTATGTTTCTCATTCTCTCTCTCTACTTTTCCATCCCTCATCATCTCTCTATATATGAGTATGTCCACAAATAGCCTCACGCCTCCTGCTGTGTTTTCTTAGCACATGATCCCCTATCTATTACAAGTATGGCATGGGCATGAGCTCTGAAAGTACAGAGAGTGTTACTTCTTTGGAAAGGAGTTTCCTTCCAAAGAGACACTTTTTTAAAGATAAGTAGCCTATATTAGCTATAATTGAAATAATCGGAGAGACAGGTAGACTACTGAAGTTGCAACCTTTCCCCTATTTACCTTTGACATAATTTACATCTTGCCAGTAGTCAGTATGAACCTGTCAATATCTTTGGATTAAATTTCACTCTGCAGCTCTGGGGCGTGCTTAAGTAAAGCTGCCTTAACTCTGCACTTCAAAACAGTGTGGGCACAAATAAACACATATTGTTGACAAAACACGGCGATGCCTGCTTCACAGATGAGTAAATTCAGAGGTCACATGCACTGACACACATAAAAGTAACAGTTATAGGTCAGTTATTAGAATTTCGACCTGAATTTATTCAAAACCGAGCATTTTATTTATGAGATGAAAAAATAGCATATAAAAAAATTTAATGAGGAAAATTTAATAGACAAAAATTACAGAAATATAATTTTAAGTTATTCTATATGCAAAAAATATTTTTGCAAATACATCACACGTCTTGACATATCACAGAACATAACCTAAAAGAGTATAGCATGTTTAAATGAATATGACATAACTATGCAGGACTAGCAACTTTAAAAGTAAAGCAAAAACTGAACTGCAGCTGCACAAAACCACCTTCTTCCTGTTTCTTGTACTTCTGTTATTGATCTTCCCACCTTGTGCCGCCTCTGTAGCAGCAGGTGTCCAGAGTCCCAGCAGCTGCCTGGAGCCTTCAGCCGCTCTTGAGCTGTTGCTGTCAAAGCTCAGGGGCTCGGCTGGAGGGTATTTAAACTGAGCCGCACCCATCCAATGAAAACGTGAGATGTCCTGACGTCACAGTTGAATCACATGTGGAGGTTGTGACTATTTTGGGCGCCAAGCCAGTTGAAACACTGTGTGTTAGGCAGGTCTTTGTATGCTTGTTTTTACAAATAGTTAAAAAACAACAACAACAACAACAACAACTACAGCTCCAGTCCTAAAAGTTAGAGCAATTCAAAATGATTTAGAGAACACAAAAAATAAAGCAGGTGTAAAATTAATAATATTAACAACAACAACAACAACAACAATATGAGTAACAAGAAGAAGAAGAACCAAACTCTGCAGATGTGTACATGATGGGTTGCTATGAAGGTTCTCATCTATATTAGATATTGTGACATCATCATGTTGCCTAGCATCTATCAATTAACAGCTTAAAATGGTGCATTTGTAACTTTTTTGCATTTACAGTATATGCTGTTGTAATTTGTTGCTAAATAAAGACGTTTTTTGGATGGATGTAAGAAATAATAAAATAAAACTACAAACACAATCACTTGGAGCCACACATACGTCAGCTTTTCCTCCTTTATTTCCTCTTTTGCTCTGCCTTTTATCCTACTCTGGTGTGAATGTGGCAGATTGTCACCAACTGTGGGACGTCCTCCAGAGGGTTAAGCTCCTGCTGGCTCCTTACTCACACACCTGCTTCTCATTCACTTGTCATTCATCTATGATAAGAAGACAGTCTGTTCACCCAATTGACATTTCATTTTCCTAGTGATAAAGCATGTAAGTGCTACTTCAGCACTGTAGTACTTTGTCTTACTACTTACCCTAATATCTTTTTTTCCCCTCCTGCTTCAGCTTACCTTTTGGTGTGTCAGTCAGGCCTGTTAATGGGTTTTCGCTGATGTGGCTGTTCTCCCTGGGTTCATGCTTACCTCCTGCAAACCTGCTCACCAACAGAACTTTTAAAGACTTCTCTTTTTGTTGCACAGTTGCAAACCAGGTGAGTAATGGGTTTGACTGGGTTGTGAGTGTGGGTCAAGAAGGGTTTTCTTGTTGCCCTGAAACTGATGCTCTCATTTGTCTTGGACCATTCTGACCTTTTGCACTTTGCGTCAGTAGGAACTCTTGATAGCATTTTGTGGCTTTAAAGGAGAAATAGTGAAAAATTAATATCGCCAACTGCATTAGGAAAAAACCAAAAAGCTGAACTTTGCCATTTCAACGATATATTTATTGTTAAATGCTTTTTGCTTTATCAGTTTTTAAAGTGCCCACATGGGATGGCTTTCATGGCCCTATATGGCCTTTTTGTGGGAAAGACCACTGCAAGTTTCCCACAAAAGCCCATACAGGGCCCCAGAGAGCAAAATGACAACTCCAGCTGCTGTTTGGTAATCAACATCTTAAAGACAGTTGAAGAGGGTATGGTGAAATTGACTAGATATGGTAATGTACATTGATCAGGCATAACGCTATGGCAGGTGAACTGAATAACACTGATCTGGGAACACCTGGCACCAGGATGCACTTTGGTCTGCAAATCCTTGAGGCCTACCATCCATGTATGCCTGCAAAATAAGCATTGTTGCAGACCATGTACATCCCTTAATGGAAATGGTATTCCCTGATGGCTCTCATACAGCAGGATAATGCACTCTGCCACATAACGGAAATGGCTCAGGTTAGAGCACAACAAGAAGTTTGAGGTTTTGACTAGGTTTCCAAATTCCCCAGATCTGAATCCATCTGTAGGATGTACTAGACAAGTGAGTCTGATCCATGGAGGCTCCAATTCACAACTTGCAGGATCAGTTGCTACCACCTTGATACCAGATGCCACAGCACACCTTCAGGGGTCTAGTGGAGTAGGTGAATTGACAGGTGAGGGCAGTTCTGGCAGCAAGGGGATCAACATAATATTTGACAAGTGGTCATGTTTTGTGGCAGTTGTTTCTGGACTCTATTTGTTTAACTGTTAGTATGCAATTTTAACCCTAAAGCTTGAACTCAACCAGTTTCAACTAGCCAGCCAGTTGGGAGTCTCCAGTGCTACTGAGCTCTTGACTGTTTTTGCTTTGTTTTGGGGGGTCCCTTGGAAATAAAGCTGATGGAGATGAGCTTAAATTTACACCTCAGGATGACAACATGAGGCACGTCATCTGTGTGTTGCTCTGCAAGTTGCGTTTTTCTGCTTCTTTCAAAAGAGTTCGGATGACTGTGGAAACTTAAATGTCTCTTTTAGACTCTATTTTATATAGTGCTGTCTGTCCACTTTTACCCTGGAAACGCAGTAAGCATCGATGGATCACAATCACATAGTGATCCATCAAAATTGGTTTTACAGTTTCAACTATAAAAACCTGAGATGTTAAATCTTAGTCTCTCTGAGGCTATAGTAGTAGAGTTGTTTTTTGTTTTTAATCTTTTTCTATTTCAGTATGACACAATAGTTGTAATTCTTTGCCATGAATGCATTTTGAATAGAAAAGTCTGCATAATTTATGTCATTTGCTCTTCACATTACAGAAACAAAGATTCTCTATGGAACTTGACTGTATGCTGAAGTGGCAGCCCTCAAGGACTGGAGTTTGAGACCCCAGGCACAGTTTGTCCCTTTTTAATACATAATTTATTATAAATAATTATAAAGAAGGAATCTTATAATCATTTTTAAACTGCAACACTAAAATCTATTATCTAAAACTAATATATTAAGTTATTTTATGTTTGCATGTCCACTGTTTGGTACACTTGTTTCTTACTCAAGCAGATGTTGGGGCCAGTGAGGGAAGGAAGAGACAAAGATAAAGTTAAAGTATGCTTCAACATGACTAAAGGCTAAATGGCTCTATCTAGTGGGGAAAAGAAGCTAGTGTCAAGAGTTTGTTGGCATTAATCTAAATAAAATCCATCTCATCAATTAGACAGATTTTCTTCAGGACACACAGTTCTCATGCCTTTCCTCTTAGAGGTCCTGGCATCTCATATGTACTGGGTCCCATTACTCTTGAGCACATGGCAGTCTATAGCTGTATAGAAGGTGGCAGCGTGCCTAATGCTGATGTTGCAGCTGTGAACCATTTCATCTGGGTTACTGGTTAGCAATGATTTTATTTACTATTGTAGCTCTTCGTAATAAAGCTTGTGATTTATTTGCCAACATTCACAAAGTAATTCATAACTTAAAACGGCAGTTCATAATAATACTCAATTTATTTGCAATCCACAGCTTTACAAATTATGTAGTATGTGAAATGCAATGATTACCTTAAGGATATTTGTCAGTAAAGAACAATGAACAATCAAATGGGCTACAATTCATTATGAAACAAATATTTGCTTCCCTTGCAGTTAATGTGAAAGACATGACATGCTGAGGCTCCACTTTCACCTGCAAGCATAATCATCACTTAACCATATGAGCCTACAAAATAATATACCGTTACAATGTAACAGTGCACCTCTGAAGTGTAATTACAATATAAGAAATGGGGATGGGGATGGGGATTTTCTTTAGGTCACGAGCAGTTGTCCAAGCATTTCACTACATATCGTACTGTGTATGACTGTGTACGTGACAAATAAAATTTGAATTTGAATTTGAATTTGAATTTGATAGAAGGTAGGTATCCCCTGCATAGCAGTGAAAATGTATGCTATGTCTTCTGATGATGCTGCCTAAGAGAAGCATGTATAATGTAAACAGAATTGGTCCTAGCACTGAACCCTGTGGAACTCCATAATTAACCTCGAATTGTTTATGGACTTTCCATTTATATAAACAATTAGATAGATATGATACAAACCAGCTACGGCATACAGTAAGTTAAATATTATGGTCGCATGCACTGAGGTGTAGCAGGACAAGCACAGAGACGAGTCCACTGTCAGAGGCCATAAAAAGATCAGTTGTAACTTTCACTACTCTGAATCCTGACTGAAACTGAAATTTAAAAAACTTCTGTAAATGATTAGTTAACCTTTTGGCAGCTACTCTTTCAAGAATTTTTGGTGTAATGTCTTTCAGCAGTCTTGTAGGAATAGGGTATAAAGGACCCGTTGATGGTTCAGGGGAATAAATAATTAAAGTAAACAGAAGATTGATAGGAAATGTCACCAGGGCCCTATTTCAGGAAGCCGGTTCAGAAAACTCAGAGTTAAAAATGATACACGGGGTTGAGTAACCCCGAACTGTCCAACTCGGAATATTCGGTTTCAGAAAGGCTGATAACAAGTAGTTCAATCAACGCGGAGTTGAGCATGTAAACTCTTTAGTTGAATGAAGAAAGAAGAAAAGTCTCAAGGTCCAGCTTCACTTCTATTCTGTGGTGACAGGTTGGACATGAACACAGGACACACCACAGATTGTCCCAATCAAATGGATCTTTATCTTACAATAACAAACACCTTTAGATGACTTATATTCTCCACAGTTCTACACCATTTCTAGTTGTACAAAACTGTATTTATATACAAATTTATGTGGACACATGGAAAGTAATTTACTAGAAATGTGCTCAGAAGTCTGCATGTTTGTTACATCTTCGTAATGATGTTCAAAAAGGCTTAATTGGTTTTAGTATTTTTTGTGTTAAGGTTTTAGTATTTCAAGGGTAAATCTGAAACGTTATAATTGCAGACTGCACTATGTATTTATCACTGTAAAGTATTTTGGCCCTTGTCGCTGCTTATCCAAAAACCAGCCTGCCAAAGAAACCAGCTCCAACTTTGACACCAGGGTCTACAAGGGTTATAAAAGTTTAGCTTTATGTTCTGAAGTTTTCTGAGATTTGAAAAAGTACACAAACCCTACGTGTATCTAAACCTGCCATCAAAAGCACTGTCACTCTGAAAGCAGTGACCAATTTGTATTATTGTTAAAGGTATTAGAAAACACATAGGAGAGAAAGAAGTAAAACAGCAGTTGAGTTTTATTAACCTTCATGTCTTCACAGCTCCATCTGAAAACAAGAAGAAAGGAAAAAGCCATG